GCTGTCATTTTATTTTTTTTCAAAATGGCTTACCTAGTTTCGTTGCGGACGTAGTCTTCTTCCTTGTTGTCGCTAGGATTTCTGGGTCGTTGCTAAAAATGCGATATGAAATATCTATTTTTAGATTCTTAGTTTTCGAAATGATATATAGACCCACTACCAAGTAGGCCTACGTCTTGAGTAAATAACGTTGCACACAAATGCAAGATAACCTTCAGTAGCGTACGCAGGGGGGGAGCAGGGGGAGCGGCCGCTCCCCCTCTGGCCATTTTCAGCAAAGTGGCGCCTTTTTGGCAACTTTTTAAACTCAAAGTTTTAAACAATGATATTTGTTTAAAAATATTTTTGGTCGGCACATCTATGTAAATCACAAGATTTCTTTTCATGCAGCAATTAAGCATAATTGTACTAGTCCAGTAGTGTCTACGTTTACAACACGTATTAACAGCTGCATCAGTTTGCCATTCTAAAAATAACCATTAAGATGCATTGCAATGTTTAAAAAACCTCTACGGGTAGTACCACTTGGCAAGAGGGGTGTTAAGGTTAAGGCAACTGTATAATGAATTTGCTTATGAGTAATTGAATTAGAAAATGGTATACATAAAACTTCACACATAATTACTTTATAAAATACAGTTTGAATCGTGTGATTAATTTAAAAAAAATTGCAATACAGAAACAAATACAACTGATGAATTTACTTATGAGCAAACTGCGTAGTGGTGGGGAAATTTTGACAAGGTCAACAAGGTCATCATGATGAAGTAGTAGTATTCTTACAGTTTGGGCGATTGTGATTACGATTACAAATTATATGAAACAGTTACAACCCCCTCCCCCATGGACCCCTCTGTAAAAAAAACATATCTTCATAATACCACTGTTACTTATTTAAATCTATTTCTGTAATATATATATATATATATATTTGTGTAATATATATGTGTGTAATATATATGTAAGTTTAGAACAGTCATCTAAAAACTGACGCTATGTTCCCTCTGAGTTGGTTATCACAGGAAAAAAAATCACAGGAAAAAAAGTCACAAATATATATTTGCATGATATTTGTTAATACTTTTATGTATTAAATATTTAGAGAGTGCAAATTAACTTAGGATTAATTAAATGTAATGTAATGTGTGTAGGCTGTATACGCATAGGAATTTTTATAATTCATCTTAAAATATTTATTATGAAGTATGTAGATTGTAATTATTTTAAACTTAAGATTAGTAGCATTTAATAGAATGCTCCAAAGTCCACGGTTTTCATCGTGTTTTTTTTTAAAATACCAATATTAAATTACCGTGAAATGGTAAGTTCATCTGACTTGCTGCCCTCAACTCATGGCAACAATAGTTATGTTTAGTTCAACCACCTTTACTGCCCACATTTATCACGCTCATTACATAACAAAACTTAGGATCAAAGCAGAAAGCCGACAAGCTTCAAAGGCTGTCATTGACGCGTAACGTCAACAACACAAAATATGTTCGGACAATGCCTACTGAGGAGAGGCCGACCAGAGAATAGCCTACGGCAAAATTTGCCTAAATTTCTTTTATAATTAACTTTTCTACCGCGTATTTAAATAAATACGTAACAAGTTGAGATTGTTGTGTAAATTATCTTAGAGTATTTTTACTTACAATTGTTATAAATCATAATGCTTTTAACGTCTATAAATAATTTATGCTATCAAAAAATACAACCCACAACAATAAACATACAAAATTTTACAATTCTTAACAAATTAATAAAAATATTTCTAAAAAGATTTTTGTGACTTTTTTTCTGTGACTTTATTTCTGTGACTTTTTTTCCGATAAAATTTTTCCACTGTGACTTTTTTTCTGTGACTTTTTTTCCTAGCAAAAACTGTGACTTTTTTTCTGTGTTTTTTTTTCCTGTGACTTTTTTTCCGTTTACCATCTCCCCACACCCCACCACCACAATTGTGTAGAGCGACATTAATGTCACACCTAGGAATACACTGGGTTGGATAATTGACCTAACGTGACCGGACAATGGTGAATGAAGTTGAACCCCCCCCCCCCCAACCCACCCCGAACTTATCTGTTAAGTACATGTAGAAAAACGCATATTGATGTACCTAAGTACCATGCCGCCAGAAAATTAGCTTTTTAAACATAAAACTATGTGAATATTGTTTTTGCAATTACCAGTAAAAAGGTGTGCAATCAATACAGTGATCTAATTCATACCTATCACTATGTTAAAAAATGATTTTTAAAGAACACAAAGAAGCAGTAGTTAATTAAAAATATATGATCCGAACTAAAAGACCGAATTGTAGTTAAATGTAGGCTGTTATTCCGAATGGTTTTACATCATGTCGATAACTAGTGTGGTTTTATACTAACTCTGATTTTAAAACTTTCATTATGCTGTAATACTTTAGCATTTATGATGACGATATATTAAATTCTGATTATAGACAAAAACATTTTGTAAGCACGAATAGTGTTAAACAATTTCATTATATTCTAAAGTAATTATTTATTTGTTTTGACATTTTATATAATTAAATGTGTAGATATATACATATTTATATTGAGAGAGTGATCACTTCCCCTATTTCATTTGTCTTAAATAATTTCCAAGGAATTATGTAAGAAAATTTGTAAAAAGAATTACAAAACAGATTGTGTTACGTTCATTGTTTTTCGTTGTAGTGTGTATATATTTTTTTGTTGTTTAGATTGATACCATTTTTGTTTTTGTCGGCCTATATTGTGTGCTTTTTCTTATTTCTTCTGAGTGCTACGTTCAATTTATTTTAAATCATAGCGAAGTAATGACATATAGATCTATATATAAGTAATTATATATATATATATATATATATATGTATATATATATATATATATATATATATATATATATATATATATATATATATATATATATATATAAAATACACGTATATAGAAAATAAATTCGGCGCCTTATTTGCTCTTTTCGCTCCCCCTACAACGAAAACCTGGATACGCCTCTGATAACCTTCCAAACACATAGTTGAACTATAAAATTTACGTATATGTATATACAGTTTGTACGTGTGTTATACAAAACATCATCAGAATTAACGTTATGATTGTTCATTGTTCATTGGTTAGTTTAGAAATAGAGCCGTTGCATGGGAATTAGGTTGTTGTAGTTAATGGCTTAGTTTATGATGTCATTACTGTTGTCGTGGGTGGGGGGGGGGGGAGGAGAAGAGAAGGGTTCAGGTAAAGTCGACTTTTGGTGACGAATGGGCGGGTGTGAATGTACGTTATCTGACTGCGATCAATCACAATGTAAACCTTGTGTAAATAAAGAGAGTTGTGCGTGTATTGTGTGACTCTTACCTTATCGCTTCATGTGTTGTGTTGTAGACGCTATCTTGTGTGAGATGTGTATTCTAGTCGTTGCTATTGGATCGATTAGTTTATTTTAATCGAACACCACAGAAGAGATTTGGTTGACTTGTTTATTGTCTGGCCTATGTTCGCCTGCCTTCAGGAGCCAAAAAAACTAGAACAGGTGTAGCAGTTACAACACAAACACGGCAATAAATCTGCATACGACCTACACATTAAACGGCAGTGTTTGTCTTTAATAAAACTTAGCACAGCGGGTAATAAAATCGTGGCATTTATGTTTACAACATTAGTAAGCGAGAAATGAGGGAAACATAAGTAGGAATGGGTTCGTGAAAGGGTAGTGGCCTTAATATATATCTTAATGATAGGTACAAATGCATTAAATAACATGTTTTCTGTCTATTAAAAAAATAAATATTTTATTTATGCACCTGGTTAGTATACAGTAAAGAATCATTAAAATAAAACAAGCACTTATGATATAGGCATTATTTTTGTACTTTAGACACGCGTTTTAATTTTCTCAACACATCCGGCCCCTTGAGGAATATAGGGCCATGTCCCCAGCTTTCACACTTTACAGTCTCCAGCTAAGCTGTGTTGTATTCTCTTGCAAAGCAAGATATAATCTAATGTGTCTGTTATTTGCGCACGCCTTTTTACTTCCTCGTATACAGAGTGTGGAGGAAGTATTGTAATCGTGCACAAAAATGACATGAAATTTCGACAGTTTTCATAGTTTTACACCTCAGTATTTCATCATATACGGAGTATAGAGGACTTATTTTAATTAGGCAAAAATTATAAATGCAGATTTATCAAAATTTTGGCGTTCGTTCTATGCGTATCTTGTCGGAAAAACTGGGCTTTGCAATTCTGTCCGTATGTCTGTGTGTATGTGTGTATGTCTGTAAACACGATAACTTGAGTACTGTTACAGCTAAGTTGATGAACATTATATACATGTATTATATAAAATGTGTCGTTTTGTATCAACTTTTCTGCGGGTTCCGGTAATCAGGAAGTGGAGAGTATTCTACTTTCAATGAAACTTCACATAGATGTAAAATATCTAATTCTCTACCTGCTCTCAAATTATGAGTAATTTCCGTTGACCGGAAGTAGTAATTTACGCTATTGCCACAATATATACGTAGCTTAGTACTAACAAACCCCCAATTCATCGCTTTACCGCCAAATAAACGAAACTTGAACTGCGCTTTAGATGTAACTCGTAGAATTTTATAGAATGTGTTGATTCATTCAGAAATGCGTAAACAAAGATTGTAAGAATATATCTAACGTCAGTAAGGAATAAAGAAATGTTGACCCAATGGCAAGCAACCATATGAATAAGTTCCAAGGACCCAAAAGGTACCACGGGCAAGGGGTCTCATGGGCCTATCAGTTAAGTAACTCAACGAATCGAGTATCTCTAGACACTATTTTTTGTTTCATTTTTTTTTCTTCATTATTTTTACCAAGAAAAAATTACTCAGTATCAGTTGTGTAATATTAATTTATAATGATTTTTATTTAAATATAATGTTTTAAAGTTCCTAGCTAATATACGGGTATTATTAAAAAAAAGAAAAACAAATATAATTTCGATGGAAAAAAATATAAATTTTATTCAAACAAGTTTGACATTATAGGAACGTTCATCAGTAACTCAAATATTTAGCCACTAGATCGTTTTCCACAGTAACATGCGTAGTGGTGAGGACAAATTGTATTTGTTCCAGGTTTGCACGAAGGACTCAAACAGTTATGTGAGCAAAAACGAGAACAACTTTCACTGGAGCTGTGTACAAATAATACTGGCATATAAATACATGCATATAATAATACATACTTATATAGTCTCTCTCTCTCTCTCTGGCTCTCTCTCTCTCTCTCTCTTTCTATATATATATATATATATATATATATATATATATATATATATATATATATATATATATATATATATATATATATATATATATATATATATATATATAAACGAGATAAATGGCCCGATGAGATACAACGGGCGCTAGGTTGAGAGTGCTGTCTATTTATCTAAATCTAAATAAAAACCAAAATCACAACTTTAATTTCAAATTTAACCGGAAACGAACAATGTCACAGAAACCGGATTTGTATCGTAAATCGGCATTTTAACCGGATTTAAACTTAATCTTCACGTCGTTACTGCACACTGATACTAAATATAAACTTTGCACTTAATCTCAAACCTGATTAAAGTCGCTGTTAGAGTTTCTTTCAGGCGACTCTACGTGCAGGGGGGGGGGGCTCAGCCCCTCCCCGAGACGACATTATCAACCCAGCGCCCGTTGTAAATCTCCCTCAACTTGCAATTTATCTCGTTTATATTAATGGTTTTGCTGCCTTTTTATCTGTTGGGAACGCTATATAGAAAACACAAGCAAAGTTAAAACTTGCACAGTAATATGAAAACGAAACGTGACGTCATATGGAACATATTGTAGGAAACAGCCTAAAGCCGGAAAAATACATAAAATAATATGACATCGTTGATTCTTGAGTAAACAATGCATTAAAAAGCCAATGGCGAAAAAATACACAATAGTAACGACGTCAGCGATATTCTACAATAAAAGCACTGACATAACGGCCTAGTTCATTTGTCTAATTTTAAAAATGTTTCTTTCATGCATATCTTCGGGTAAAGGCTAAGCACCTCCCCCCCCCCCCCCCAACGAAATATAATGTCAATGTCATTTTTCATTTTCGGTTCAATTTGAAGTTACGTTGGTGATTTTGGTTTTGTTTTTGGTTTTGGCTTAGAGAAAAGAGACAACACTGTCTACCTAGCGCCCGTTGTATCCTCCCTCAACGGGCCTTTTATCACGTATACACGTATATAAATTAAAATTAACAATTTGATTTTTAAAATATCATTATTCTATTAAGCAGTTTATTTATGATAACTACAGCTAAACGGTCATTTTCAAAGAAGTTTTACATAAATAGTTTGCTCTATTACACCCTCATTAACATCATAATCATTTTTATGAATTTCATGTTAAGCAAAATGACGCAACAACACCTCCCCATCCGATGCGGTTTGGTGCGATTCTTCAAGGCGTCTTCATGAATCATCGGAGTAATCAAGATTCCTTTTTTTTAAATGTGTATTAAATTGGGAATACAATTTTAGTAACCTCACATAGACTCTATATCAGAGGCGTAGCGACCCTTCCGGCGCCCATGGACAAACTTTCGACTTGCACCCCCATCAAGCTTTAAATTTATTTTTCCAACCCATTTCGGCGCCCCCTAAGGTCGGCACCCGGGGATATATGTCCCCCCGCCCCCCCCCCCTTGCTACGCCTCTGCTCTATATACGGATAGTAACACGACAGACCGATGTCTGTAGTGTAGATCATCAGGAATAATGACAACAAGTCGACAACTGAGGTTTACCCATAGTCAGAGGCGTAGCGATGGGGGGGGGGGCAGGGGGGTACATATGTCCCCGGGCGCCGACCTTAGGGGGCACCAAAATGGGTTGTAAAAACAAATTAAAATGTCATTTAAGCTGCATTTTTGCATTATAAATAGTTTGAGAGGGGGGAGGTTGCACATCGAAAGTTTGAGGGGGGTGCAAATTGAAAATTTGCTCCCGAGAGGGGCTCCAAATTGAAAGTTTGTCCCCAGGTTGCCGGGAAGGGTCGCTACGCCTCTGCCCGAAGTCGACCCTCCCACGACAGACTATCATTATACGACAGGGATGCAAGCCCGGAACGGGGTGGGGGAGGGGGGTGGGGTGGCTAATAATTATTGTGCTATCTGGTACGGTTGTGTCATAATCGTAAAATAATTAAATATTTAATACCGTCTACCAAACGGCCTCAGTGTTTGTTTAATCCGAAAGTTGTTGGCGTATGATCCCAGATTCCTAAATTCACAACATTCACCATCAACACTTTGTCCGCTAAACTAATATATTGTGTTTTCTTTTTTTTTCTTCAAGTTTTTATGAATACATTTTTGACAGCATTTTGTTATCGTTTCTACTTTTCTTGAATTTTTTATTCATCTTTGCGTTTCTTGCAATCTGATTAATGAAGAATTATTTTCGTTTTGGCGTTTACCAATGCCAGAATATAAATGTTGGAGAATAAATAGGCTCAAAACTACCATGCCGCCAGACTCTATATAAAACTCTAAATAACTCTATATAACTCTATATAACTTTATATAACTATATATATATATATATATATATATATATATATATATATATATATATATATATATATACATATACATATAAAGCAATGTATTTGTGAATGTGTGTCTGTCTGCCTGTCTGTCTTTTCATTACCACACCTCTTATCACATCGCTGTGAAACTTGGGAAGTTGTTGAGAATATACCTGGGGAGGTTTCTGCGATAAAAAAATAAATTCGCGGGGGCGGCGCAGAGGTGGCATCCCGGTCGGGCGCGATTGGTTTTTTTCACTTTATACGGTATATTTAAATAAAAGTCCATTGCGGTGTCATACAGTTCAACTGTGTGCCATGAAACTTTGTGGAGATCATAAGAACACTCTAGGAAAGGGTTTTGCGAAAAAAAAATCTTTATTTAATTTCGCAAGGGCAGCACCCAGGGAGGGTGCGATTTTTCTCAATATACGGTTTATAAAAAATGAAAGTAGGATGTGGTTCGACACTGATCATGCGAGTGTTATGAAACTTTGGAAAGTTGAAGAGGATACTCCCAGGAAGGTTTCTGTGAAAAAAAATTCTTAAGGACGGCAATTAGGCCTCCGGGTTTAACCGTGATCACTATGGCGCCTACGTTCGTTTTAAGAAGCACCCTAAAATATTGACACGGTGGCACAAGACATTCGATGATTTAATCAAGCCAGGGGCCGTACGCGATGCCCCTGCAGTAGTACAACCTGGGACTCGCGAGTGTGCCCTTTTATGTCCCTGAGACCAGGGCGGTCGATGAAGTGTGCTCTATCTTACTATTACAGAGAATGGTTAACATACGCTCAAGGCTTTCATACACCGCGCCCAGGGGGCGTGCTAGGATTTAGTATTTAAATCTCAGATTTAGAAAACAAGATAACACGTCAAAGAATATAAGATTGGTAACGCAATGATGGAACCCTCTTAAAATATTTCGTTAGACTTTAACGCGCGGGGACGGGCACGCTAGTAGCTATATATAGCTAATAACTATATATAACTATATATATATACGAGAGAAATGGCCCGTTGAAGAAGGATACAACGGGCGCTAGGTTGATAGTGCTGTCTATTTTCTCGGTACTTTAATTTATACAAAATATAGTCATAGGCATATCCCTAAACCATGCACCTAATCTCATTCATGACAAAAGTTGCATTTAGAGTTTCTTTCAGGCAACTTTACTTGGGAGGAGGGGGGCTTAGCCCCCCCCTCCCACCCACACACAGTCCAATACATGTCTACCGTCCCATTCAACGAAATATAATTATATACTTTTCCAGTGTTCGCCCCCTCCCAGAAAAATCTACCCCCGCCCCCGGGGAGGAAAAAGTCTGAAATGAACACTGGTTGCATTTGTAGATCATACATACTAAATGAAGAATCTGGGCGGGGCTTCGCCCCTACCGGAATAGATGCTTGAAAAAAAAATACTGCACGCTAAACACTTTTTAGATTAGAAAAAGTTCCCCCTACGGGGAGGAAAAACTCTGAAAGAAACACTGGTGTCGCGCTTAGCCAATACCCGAAGAATTGGATTAAAGAAATTGCAAGTAAACCACTTTTTAGATTTGACCAGGGATCGGCAAACTGCGGCTCGCGAGCCGCATGCGGCTCTTTTGATATCCAGTTGCGGCTCTTCAGCTCCATGCACAAATATTAAAATTATTTTATTTCCAAAACTCATAAAAATATTAGTCTGCAACACTCGGTAATAAACGGTATAACAAAAGATATAAACAAAAAAAATTCACTATTATATTAGAATATTTAGTTACTCCCTATCTCAGTGTACTTCCCATTACATTGTCCATTCCGAATTGAATTATTCAACTTCACAAAGAAACTAAACCAGCTAAGTGTAAAACTGAAAGGAAAATCTAGCCTACTATGTCTTACTTGAAAAGATGGCTTGTTTCGAGAATTTTTTTTTTGTTGAATACATGATGAGCGGTAAATTACTGTTACGAAAAATCTGAAAAAATATCGTTATGAAAACAACGCTTCTATTCAATCACTTTAGCATTAACCCTTTGAGCCCGCCAGGCCGGTAAACCGGCTTCAACATTAGGCATATATGTCCGAAAAGCCGGTTTTCCGGCCCGATGATCTAGCGGCATATTCCTAGCGGCCGGTATACCATCTAATTAAGTATAATTAGCGGGACACTGACTAAAAACTGCTCATATGTCTTTTGAGTGCAGGATTATGATTCTAAAAATAGATTTTAAGGAACAGTGAAAGTGAAAGTGTTTACATTTCGTAGCAATGCGGCCGAAACGAAAAGCTGAGCTACAGCCGTCGACTTCATCACATAAAGTTAGTGCAAAAGATGAAGCAAAAGACCGAAATATCAACAAAAGAAGCAGAATGACTGCATCTCAGGCAATAAACTACTTATTAATTCTGAAGAAGAGAATATATACTTGGTCTATATTGTGATGACAGTGACGTTGAATTTGAGACTGAACACAGTGACATTGAAATTGACAGTGACAATGAAACTGTTCAAGTACGTTCTGATGCACGTGGTGCCAAGGGCAAAGACTTTCAGAAACGAAAAAAAACTGTTTACTGGTGCAAAACATGCGAAATTTTTCTTTGCATTGGGTCCGTCAGTGATAACTGTTTTGAAAGTTATCACATAAAAGTGGACTTCTGGCTATGAACTAGTATGGCCAGGTATCAATAATAACAAAACAATTACTAAATGTAAATTGGTTTCTTCTATGTTCTATCAAAACAATAATTATGTGTTCGTTTTATATACATTGTTCTGTTCAAGCGTTGTAAAAAAAAATCAGAATCTTGCTGCATTGTTGTTTGATTGCGAGTTTAGATACTAAATTTGGCTTGATTATCACAAACGGTTCAAAAGTTATAGTTAAAGTAAGAAGCAGATAAGTGAAAATTGGTTTGGCCCTGGGAGCTCAGGAAATGGGAGAAATTAGGTCAGGGAGGCCAGGGCTCAAAGGGTTAATATAAACACAATGAAGGATGTTTTCACTGAGAGATTTGAGCTGTTCAAAACAAATGCAAGTACTCTGTCTTACATAGTAGATCCTCTCAACACAAATTCAAATGAGAGTATCTCATATATTCAAAGCTATTTATTTTAAATTATATATATATATATATATATATATATATATATATATATATATATATACATATATATATATATATATATATATATATATATATATATATATATATATATATAATATAAGCCATCTGTTTAGGATTATATATATATACTAAACAAATAGGCCTACACAATAGACATAAAAATGTTAGTGGCTCTTTAAAAACCGGGTAATGTTGTAAATTGTAACTTTTGGCTCTTTCGTCTCAAAAGGTTGCCGACCCCTGGATTAGACACATTAATTAGGCGGTAATTTTATTATAGAGTATCGATGAAGAAATTTCTTTTCAGTTGGGGAGGGGGGGCTTAGACGTTCTTACGCGGGGGTGGGGCTTCGCCCCTACCCGAAGAATTGTATGAAAGAAACTCTTCACGCAAACCACTTAGATTAGACAAAATTGCCTTTTAATTCAATGTTTACTCGAGAATCAATGACGTCGTATTACTGTGTGCACTCTCCGGCTTGATATAATTTTCATCTCTATGCTCAATATGACGTCATATTTCGTTTTCGTTTCACTGTGAAAGTTTTTAACTTGCTTGTGTTTTCTCTAGAGCGTTCTGGTCAGATAGATACATACACAGATAGATACATAGATAGACAGACATCGAAACTTATATTATAGATAAATATAGTGTGTGTGTGTGTGTTTGTGTGTATGTATAGTTAATTTTTTGTTTAAATTACTCGTAGCAGGCAACAAATTTGCTGTTAATGAGCGTTGGTAAAGCCAGCAGCGTCAGGCAAAAAATCACGGCGCGAGCGGACAACATTCTGGTGGGGAAAAAATGAAAGTATTAGACAAAGCCGCTAGGTATTAACATCACAAATTATCTGTGGATCATGTCCACCCCCCTATCAGCGGATTTAAGGGGGAGGCTGAGAGGATTGCAGCCGGGGGCCCCCAATGTTTGCAGAGGGGTTTTTAGAAGTCTTCAAATTAGCTCTTATTTTGTAAATTTATTTTTCCGACACATTTCTGTTTTATGTAAATTAAGTGACCTTTTGAATGTTTAAATGCCAATCTATTTAATTTACCAAATAAAAACGATACATATGAGTTATTTCCTATGAAAACTCTTCAAGACGGCCCAACCCCCTCAAATGTTAACATAGGCTGTCATTGCTTACTGCTCAAACACACACCCTAAATATTATACTTTATTACTGGTGCACAAATCGAGTAATCAACCAGTTTCAGAACAGCAAAAACACTGACTCAACAAAACAAGTTAGAAAAACATGTTTTACTTCAACGTGTGCCTTTATGAATAATCCGTGGAATAGCTAACAAAACCGGCTTGTGATAGACGAAGCCTATAACTCTTTAAACCAAACATAATTTTTAAAAATGTACATACCAACTGGTCCGGCTGTATTGTTTGACATCACTACATTAAGTAGGAATTCACGTGTTTTTAATGTTAGGTCTAGTTATTTGAAAGACAGGTTTGTTAGTGACGGTTATTTTTATGTAATTAATTAATAACTCGACACCAGGTGTGAGCTTCAATGATACCACTAGTTTATCTCAGAAATAAAGAAAAAGAAGTGAAAAAGCCATTATTCATTGACAGTGAGTTATTAATGGGTTTGAGCGGATGCGACCAATTTTCTGTTTACGACGATCGTTCGAAATTCCCTATTAACTTTTTTATTTGTTTCTTACATCCTAATTATATGTTCACACCAGACGGGGCGGCGTGGCTAAGTGGTTGAGTTAGACTGCAAACATGAGATTGGCCTAGCTTAAAAAACACGATATGGAAGTAATTACTTCTGACTAGCGTCCTTTGTCAGATCTTCAAATGTCAAATGGACTGATCAAACGTAGAAACTTAATACAAATTGACATATATGTTGTAACCCTGTGTATTCAATGGCTTACATACAAGCAGCACTATGAGACTAACAATTTTGCAAAAAGTAAGCCTATTTAGAAAGGTATGGAGAGATGTTTTCAAATTATGTTATCGGAATCAAATTATTGTATAGTTATACTTTTTACTTTCTCGTATACTAAACGTATACGAGAAAGTAAAACGTTTAGAGGAAGTATTGTAATCATGCAAACATTTTCACAAATCTTGAGGTTTTGCACCTCCTTGAGTTGGAAAAACGGAAAAACATGAAACCAGATAAATGATCCCTTAAGGTAGAGAAATACAACAAACAAATTTTTATTCAGAATCGGCATTTTTACCGGAAAACAAGTAATTAAAAAAAGTCTAGTGACAATTTTAGCGCAATTTCCTTGTGTTATCTAAAAATAGCTCTGTCGTAGCGTAAATCAAGAGCAGGGTTAGTAAAACCATTGGTTAGTTATTAAAACGTTTTTTATTATTTTTTTTTTCAGTATTTTACATGTTTTATTTACAATAGAGTAACATGACTAAAAACCATTGCACGCCCAGCTACCGAACGTGACGTCGCAGCCATTGAACGTGATGGCGCAGCTATTGAACGTGATGACGCGTGTGGTGTGGTTGCATAAAATGCCTACTAATTCAGTCCAAATTTTAATTAATTCAAAAATTTTTTTGTGACCAAACGAAAGGATATTTTTGAAAACTTTCTTCGGCAATATTGTTCTAAATTATGGCAGGAATCGATTGGTACATGTTTCAAGTCGCTAAGTGGTCTGGTTGCCGAGATATGTGCCAAAAACTGCATTTTTTCGAGGCTTTTTGGCTTTTCCGGGAAATCCATGAAAGAAACCCGGAATTTGTATGGCCTATGTTTATCCTCGTAACTTGCTTAACATAATTGCTTTTGGAACTAGTCCTCGATATTGCTTCGTTGAGGAGGAGATACGACTTAAAGCTGCGGACACACATCCATCCATCCATTCAACCATCCATTCATTCCCAGAAAAGACGAGTTAATAAACGCAATTCTCCAGAATGGAAATTGCGCTAAAAAGCTTGATCTACAATTTATCTTTATACTAAGTATACTCGTAGCCATACCCCTAAACCTTGCACCTAATCTCAAACAAAATTTAATATTTATTCGCATAATATTAATATTCGCATTAAGAATTTCTTTTAGGCGACACTCTACTTCAGGGGGGGGGGGGGGGGTTAAGAGAAGGGAAATGGGAGGCTACGCCCCGACCCCTCCACACCCCCCCCACACACACACACACAAAGCACATCTACCGTCCCATTAAAAGAAATGGAATTTACACAGAAAATATACTTTTACTAGTCCACTCCCATCACGAAAATTTCAAGTACACCCCCCCCCCACCTCCGGAGAGGAAAAAGTCTAAAAGAAACACTGGTCGCATTTGTAAATCATACAAGGTTAAGGTAGAGCCTTCTATAACATAGAAGGGGGGGGGGGAGCACTTGAATTTTATCTGGAGCGAATACAGTTCTCCGGGGTGTGGGAGGCCGAAACTGGTAAAATATTTTTTTTTCTATTTAAATTATATTTCTTTTTTATTTCGGAGGTGGGGGGGGGGGGGTGTTAAACGTTCTACCGGGAGGAGGGGGGAGGCGAAGAGATGCATAAAAGAAACTCTACACACAATAAACTTTTAAGATCAGACAAATGAATTAGGCTGTAATTTAAAATTGTAATATAGGCCTACTATTATCAAAATAGTTCTAAAGACAAGACCAAATGTAGACCAAATTAGCTTACACCGTCTACAAAGCGCACTCTAAAACAGTGGTTCTTAACTTTCTGTAGGGACCGAACCACACCAGTTTTATATGCGCATTCACCAAACCCTTCTTAATAGTTGTATCGTTCACACTGACAAACTCAGATCGTGAATCATATGAGTCGGCTGTGTGTCAGCCCTGAGACTGAATTACTGAACCTCTCGGGTTCGATGGAACCGACTGTTATAGGCTCTTTTGATTTTCTTCTTTTTCTTCGTTTCGGCTTCATACGGAACATATGCGCAGGTAACACTTCGTCAATGAAGATCGAACCCTAATAAATCCAGTTGTGTTTATGTCATGAATGTTGTGTTTGTGTTTTCGTTTGTGTGTTTCTTTGCATTGTGTTTGTTTGCATTGTGTTTTATTTTGTGTTTGTCTTGAGTTTGTGTTTGCGTTGTGTTTGAGTCTGTGTTTTTTCTTTGTGTTTGTGTTTAGTTTCGTTGTGTTGCCAAGTTGGTACAAATTTAAAAAGATTTACCGTGGCGGAGCACGGGTATGCAGCATGTGTTGTTTATTTCCTGTAAATAAAAACTGAAAAATGTAGACTTGTATTTGTTCAATGAAATGACGTATGGTACGGACCGGTGTGGTTGCACGTTAGAGCTAACAAATCCTAACCTGATTATTTCGAGTTTGAATCCCAGGTTTGAATAAAAATACTGCGTCCATCCAGCTTTGATTGGTACCAGACCCACGTTTGGGAAACAAAGTTGGCTGGGCAAAGAGCTGACCACATTATCTTCTTCATCTAGCGCTTGTATCGGTGCGCGAATTGTATAAGATGAGTAGATTCTTGTAATAATTATGTTGGAGTTAAACTTCACGCAAGTAGACGTATAAATAACTCATTTGTAATTCACGTGCACACATTTTATATATATATATATATATATATATATATATATATATATATATATATATATATATATATATATATATATATATATATATATATATATATATGTATATATATGTATATATATATGTATATTTGTTCGCTATGTGAGTTTTAATTGTGGCTGAGAAACGAACTAATTCGATTCTTTAGTGTAATTAATATGACTGTTAGGAGAATAAGCCATTGTATAGCTGTCTTTACTTTTTATAACATTTTGTAAAACTTCATATTGCATAAAAAGTAAACAGACATTATTTTTTAGTTCATATCCCGAGACGTCCTTCGGTCAACCCGGATCTAATGTGTACCTGACTCGTGTTGGGGAAAGTAAAGGCGACTGGGCATAGCACTGACCACCATAATGTTGGGGAAAGTAAAGGCGACTGGGCATATCACTGACCACGATAATGTTGGGGAAAGTAAAGGCGACTGGGCATAGCACTGACCACGATAATGTTGGGGAAAGTAAAGGCGACTGGGCATATCACTGACCACGATAATGTTGGGGAAATTAAAGGCGACTGTGCATATCACTGACCACGATAATGTTGGGGAAAGTAAAGGCGACTGGGCATATCACTGACCATGATAATGTTGGGGAAAGTAAAGGCGACTGGGCATAGTACTGACCACCATAATGTTGGGGAAAGTAAAGGCGACTGGGCATATCACTGACCACGATAATGTTGGGGAATGTAAAGGCGACTGGGCATATCACTGACCATGATAATGTTGGGGAAAGTAAAGGCGACTGGGCATAGTACTGACCACGATAATGTTGGGGAAAGTAAAGGCGACTGGGCATATTACTGACCACGATAATGTTGGGGAAATTAAAGGCGACTGGGCATATCACTGACCACGATAATGTTGGGGAAAGTAAAGGCGACTGGGCATATCACTGACCATGATAATGTTGGGGAAAGTAAAGGCGACTGGGCATAGTACTGACCACCATAATGTTGGGGAAAGTAATGGCGACTGGGCATATCACTGACCACGATAATGTTGGGGAAAGTAAAGGCGAGTGGGCATATCACTGACCATGATAATGTTGGGGAAAGTAAAGGCGACTGGGCATAGTACTGACCACGATAATGTTGGGGAAAGTAAAGGCGACTGGGCATATTACTGACCACGATAATGTTGATGAAAATAAAGGCGACTGGGCATATCACTGACCATGATAATGTTGGGGAAAGTAAAGGCGACTGGGCATAGTACTGACCACGATAATGTTGGGGAAAGTAAAGGCGACTGGGCATATCGCTGACCACGATAATGTTGGGGAAAGTAAAGGCGACTGGGCATATCACTGACCACGATAATGTTGAGGAAAGTAAATGCGACTGGGCATATCACTGACCACGATAATGTTGGGGAAAGTAAAGGCGACTGGGCATATCACTGACCACGATATACCCAGGGCATAGAAACATTTAATTATTCTTCACATGCCTCGTGGACCACTTTACTTTTACTTTACTTTTGTGATATAAACGATATGCTACAAATTAGAACCATATCTCCGTAGTATATTTAGTGTATTTGGTTTGGACGATTGAAGATTTATTGTTTCTTCTTGTGCAGACCAAGATATTTGTTTTAATTAGGTTTAATCACTTGCCTTTTAATAGCAGTTACATTTTATGACAAAAACATTAGCACTTAGTTGGTCCGAATGATTTTTTTTTCTTTTCAAGTCCGATATAACAATCGAATACACTCATTACTATTGTACGTAATTAAAAATTATACACGTTTCTAGTAGATAAGTACCTATCTAATGAATACGTAACATTGTCACAAATCATAACAAAATAAAATGAATTCAAAATTTAAACTAGGTTATTTATGTTTTAATTTTCAAGCGAGTTCGCTACATCACGCGATGATGCAGTTCATTTTGGAATTTAATATGTTTTTATCTAGGTTAATGCCGTTCTCTCCTCACTCTGGCTTGGTTGAACTTCTTGAACCTTAATCAGTATAACACTGGCATCGCTTGGTTTGATCGGAACAATCTGGAACTTTGTCCCAACACTCAACACCATATGTATTGTCTGGACAATTTGGACAATTTGTTTTGTCACAAAACGTATTTAAACTGTGGATTAACAATAGTAATATATATTTAATATATTCTGACAGCAGAATATATTAAATTATAAACATTCTTTTTGTATATATATATATATATATATATATATATATATATATATATATATATATATATATATATAATTATTCAATTTAAGAATTGTGTTAATCATCTGCAAAAACTAACAACGGACTCTGATTAAAATTATTCGAATATTTTACGTTTTGACTTCAAGATTTATTTTTGAAAAATTTCACGCCGTTAAATTCGAATTCCTCGCTAAAATAAACCGGAAGTGATCTCCCCTAAACTTTCTCGAATATTCTTATATAACACTGCAGGGTATGGCAACTCGCGATATAGACATGATTTTAATCAATTTTTAATTACTTAAACTTTTGAAATATAATAGAATCTCGTAGAAAAAAGAATTGCGCATCAGGTGAACAGCAAACAATTTGTGAATAATAATGCGGAATATTAATACTGTATAAATTCATATGCTTTTTCGTGAAATCGGAAATAGCGTTGAATACTTCTTCCGGTAAACAGAAATTACCCCAAATTGGTCAGAGGACAGATAATAAGATCTTTACTTACGTGTGTAATGTTGTTTATGTATCTTAAACAGTACTCAAGTTATAGGCTTTTAAAAAATCAAATAAGTTTCTTTTCCAGTTACCGGGAATCACTCAGAAGGTGAACTACAAATTTGATGTAATACTTATATATGAAACAGGGGCGGAACTACAGTGCCGCCAGACCCCGCAATGCGGAGGGGGCCCACGCTATTTAGGGGCCCACAGCCGACCAAAATAAATAAAAAAATTATAGTTAAAAAAAATAATGTTATTGCATTTTTAACTTGATGGTTGTTTTGTAAAAAAGATTACCATAGCTGCGGTTGGATTATCTTTATTCTATAGACACCACCCCACGCTCGTGTAAATTCTTTTTCCCTTTGTTTTTAAACTACTTTAAAAGCAGAGTACTCTTTCTCCTACAATCAAACATCAAAAATAATTATCATTAAAAAAGTTTTTAAAAAACCACGTTTTCTGATTGAACTAAAAAGTAGAAAATAAATGCTATACATCACAATAATGCAAGCGATCACTCTACTGTAAGCGATGAAAAACGTGGGGCGACGAAGTAAAAGTTATATTACTATTGATTAGATAATACTTTTGACTTTTATTAGGGAGCTTGTAGAGAGTCAACAGTATTAGAAACTAAGAAAATCACGGCGCCCCACGTTTTTCATCGCTCATAGTAGAGTGATCGCTTGCATTATTGATCGCTTGCATTATTGTGATGTATAGCATTTATTTTCTACTTTTTAGTTCAATCAGAAAACGTGGGTTTTTAAAAACTTTTTTAATGATAATTATTTTCTAGTTTTTAGTCTTTGTCTGTTTGTTTGCATTAAAATCTTGCTATCGATTTTATCTTTTCACATTCACTTTTTTTTGGGTAAACGAAGACAACTCGTAAAAAACACGTGCCTTGAACCCGTGTTTAGTGGGTTAGCAATCGTGTGCCCAACCACTGGACCATATCGTCTCCCCCATACTGGCCACAAGTTGTTCCGGTTGTTTGTACACAAACACCACGTGAACACTACTCAGTAAGCCAAAAGAGGGAGAGTACCGAACCTTGTTTTCATCAAATTACAATTACTGGGTTATGTCCCTTTTTCCCCCACGTTTTTTTGTACAAATATATAGCGGTCTAAAATGATCAATAAAATGTTTCCATGGATCAATTTAGTAATAATAACAATTGAATATTGTATTGTCATCGGAAACAAAGCTTCCCTGAAAATTTCAGCGCGCTAGCTAACTGGGAAGTGCCCGAAATTTCGATCGCAAGATTTGATTGGAAAAACAGACGCGAAAGCAAGTTAAAGAAATTGTGGGAATAAGTAAACGTTCAAACCACTTCCATGACTTATTTCCCTTTTTTAAATAGTCAAATGGGGGTGCTCATAAGCTCAATTTTAATAGATTTGCACTAAACGAATTAAAAAGTAATTACTTCTCTTCATTATTATTTTTAAATAAAGTGCTTATTAAAGAATGACATTGTATTAAAAGGAAATGCATTTAAAATTAATAATATAAATACAAAAAAAAAAAAAAAAAAAATAAACAAACACGAGCCACCATTACTTATACAAAGCTTTCATTTTTTAAATTCTTTTGACCGACTACAGGTCATGTATTTAAGTGCATCAGTATGCTTTAAAAATCTAGTTTACTTTATTGCTGCTATCAGACCCCAATACATGACCTGTTGTAATTTGTTTTAATTGGAAAAAAACACATTTTTTTTCAAAACCCGAACAGGTCAGCAATGAGAATGCCATGTTCGTATTTAGTGTTTATATATATATATATATATATATATATATATATATATATATATATATATATATATATATATACACTGCGTATATTATTACGATGAAATATGCATACTGAGAAGTAAAACGGTGAAATCTGTCAAAATTTCATGCGATTTTTGTGCACGATTACAATACTTCCTCTATACTCGTTATACGAGAAAGTGAAAACTAAAAATAAGAATTATTTATAGGTTCAATATATATATATATATATATATATATATATATATATATATATATATATATATATATATAGGCCTATATATATATACATAGATATATATATACATTTATATATATATATATATATATATGTGTGTGTGTGTGTGTATATGTGTGTGTGTGTGTGGTTCCATGACAAATGATCTCAGGACAAATAATCTCAGGACGAATGATCTCAAGGATAAAAAATAATCTCACGGACAAAAGATATCAGGACAAATTATACCATGCACAAATGAGCTCAGACAAAATATCTCAGACAAAATATCACACAGCAAAATTGTACTAGTATGTACGATGATTTTAGTTGATTTGAACTTTTAAAAATTGACTGTCAAAATGATTTTGTTTACTTTTCTACGCATAATAATTGTGAATACAATGAATTAGTTAAACTTAACAATGCATCAACAGATTTATTAAACTTAATCTTTATAATAGCGTTTGATTTTAAAAAGTAAAAATTAAAACATACTTACTTCTTTAGTCTGAGAGTTATAATACATTATAATATATAAAACAAATAAAGTAACGGTAGCTATACAACACGCAAAATACTTTTCAAAAATGTGAATGGGTCTTCAGGTTCGTAAAGTAAAACCATTGTTTTTATTGCCTCATCAATACAAACATAACGTTTACGTTTCTTAGCTAGCAGGTACATCGTTATGATTACATCTCTCCAATACTATGTGATCATGTATTGTGTGAACTCTAGTTCGACATGTTCTAACTTTACATTTCCAGATCTCATTACCTGCTTCTTCTGGCTTTCTAAACATAAATTCACAAGAAACTAATGTCCTGTACATTTCTGTACATTTCTGCTAGGTAACGAAAGACGCCATAGCTTAGTAATCACCACAGATACTGCTTTGTTTGCATGCACACTACGACAAACTTTGCTCTCCCATGACCCCTGTAGTTTAAATAAGCATTTGTCACCTGATCACTAAGGTGTGACCGACGCATAACTATGGACTTTAGTTGCTAGTTGTATTGTCCATGGAGGGCGGATGTCTTTCCAATAAGGCGTGACTCTGCCATCAAAGCAATCGGCCACCTAGAACGAAGGTGTGTCTTTATTGTTATTTCATACCCTTTGATCTAGTTTCGTCCACCTGACGTGGTAGGATTGTCTCATGTTTGTCAAGCCCACCTACGCTGTCTATCAAAAACATGTCTTTAATCTTCGCATACTATATTAGTAATCTTTATTTTAAAATGTTCAGCGCAATTTGACAAATGTATACCGCAAACATTTCTCACAATTATTAAATAAGCCTATAAACAATATTAAATATAGTAAACAGAACCAAATGACGGTCAATAAAAAAAATGTTCAGTTCAACTAAAATCATCCTATACACTATTAAAATTTTGCTGTGGGATATTTTGTCAGAGATCATTTGTCCATGGTATCATTTGTCCTGATATATTTTGTCCAGGTATCTTTTGTCGGTGAGATCATTTGTCCTGAGATCATTTGTCCTGTTACCATTATACATTACCTAATACATCCCCCAAAGACATAGTTTTCCGTCGAACTGACCGGGTAGGTAAGACAAAAGATCAATAGTATAGCTCGCAACATGCTGCTAAATAAAATAAAAAAGTAAGGACATATGCGTGTAATCATATTACAAAAAATAATAAATATATAAATTTCTTAAGATATAATAGTAATCGTCTAGTCTCATTGATCAAAAAATTTCCAAATTTTGGGACGTTCTCAAAACGGGCATAATGTTGAGGCTGTTGACACGTTTGTATCGCTAAAATAAATTCATGTTTTCAAACAAAAATTACTAGGACATCAACTAGGAAGAAACTAAAAATAGATGATTTAACTATGTTAAAAGAAGTATATTGTTGCTGTTAGTTATGTCTTAATGTTTATAAAATGTTAGCAATAGATTAGGGAGAAAAGTGTTACTAGTAATTTTAAAGTACATTAATATATAACAATTAAATTTATTTTATTTTTAAAATAATTAAAACATAACAATTAAACCTTACAGGAACAATGAAAGTAATTTACTCTTACCCTGAATACAATGGTGGATGTCTGCAAGAAGTATTTGAAAGAAACGATACTTTTTTTATAGGGCAACTCAAGATCACAGGCAGGGGCGGAACTGACAGATAACAAGCCTCACCGTACAGCCCATTTATTTATATGTATATATATATATATATATATATATATATTTATATTTATATTTATATTTATATTTATATTTATATTTATATTTATATTTATATTTATATTTATATTTATATTTATATTTATATTTATATTTATATTTATATTTATATTTATATTTATATTTATATTTATATTTATATTTATATTTATATTTATATTTATATTTATATTTATATTTATATTTATATTTATATTTATATTTATATTTATATTTATATTTATATTTATATTTATATTTATATTTATATTTATATTTATATTTATATTTATATTTATATTTATATTTATATTTATATTTATATTTATATTTATATTTATATTTATATTTATATTTATATTTATATTTATATTTATATTTATATTTATATTTATATTTATATTTATATTTATATTTATATTTATATATATAAATATAAAGTAACTCAACTAATTTTTTTTTCCTAATTGAATAACTAAACCGCTATCTTTACAAAGTATATTATTAGACAAAAACCACAAGTAATATGGCAAAAAATCATTTAGGACCTACAATAACCGAGTCTTTAAAATATGTGTACCTCATGTCATAACTGCCGAAAATCGTGAAAAGTGGAACTAGCATGCCAGTCTATAGATATGTAATGTGTAGTGGTTTCCAGTGTCCGTTTTATGATTATGTTTATTTGTATTTATATTGTTAATTTTGAATAATTCTTGTTTACACATTGTCAGCCTTTATTTTTTCCATTTTTAGATAATTTAGAAAGAAATTGCTTTTAATTTTTTTAAGACAAAAATATAATTTTTAAAACGTAAAAAAAAAAAAAAACGCAGAAAAATAAAAGTAAACATTTCTTTAAAAATGGCATACTTAACTTTTTAATATTTCTACGTATATATATATATATATATATATATATATATATATATATATATATATATATATATATATATATATATATATATATATATATACAATTTTATTTGATAATTTCCATTTAGCAGCTTAAAACTGGGCCTACTGTACAGTTTTGATGTGGAGACCTTTGAAAGTCCTACACAGAAACGTGATATTTAAAAAATAATACCCCAAATTAAATTCTTTGATTAAACAATTTCTATTGGTCGCAGCCGATTATTTTAATGAGTCTCGTTGCATCCTCCATCCCAATCTTATTCGACTGTTTAAATTTCTTTCGTGCTACTAGCCATTCGCATTTTTTGCAGGAATAATATAGGCATTCTAATTGATAATACAACACGAATATTATTCCATTGTATGAATAATTAAAAATCAAAGGACCTTTCCTTTTGACTGTTTAAAACGAGATTTAATATGCCATTTTTCTTGAAGACTATTTCAAGGAGAGAAATAAATCATGGAAGTACTCGGTCCATCTATCACACTTCGGAAATGCACGAAAAACATTATTTGTGAATAAACAAAGTCATCCTGATCGGATTTTTAGTCGGATTTTGAGCCACCTAAGCCCCCCCCCCCACCCCCTGCCTTGACTGGTGTTGTAGTTCTGCCTCTGATCACGTGTGTTGATCACACTATTGAGTAAGTAAAGAGGCGGGGCAGAGGTTAGCATTCGTGGGGATTCAGATCGATATTCATAACCAATGGTAAAACCGTCATTTGATAAGTCGAGCGCTAACTAATCGAACAAAGATAATATTTTTATGTTTCGCATTTCAAAAGCTTGTTTAGTACAGTCTATAGTAAAGCTTCAAAGGGGAAAGTATTGCTAGCCATCTGATGTGGAAATAGCTGTCTAGCTAAAGTGGATAGCCTGAGAATTGCTGCCTAATGTGGGAATAGCTGCATGGCTGGTGTGAGAATAGCTGATTAGTTAGTGTGAGAATAACTTTCAAGCTTGTGTGGAAATAGCTGGTTAGTGGGAGAATAGCTGATAGTTTTACGTGAAAATAGCTTGATTGTTTGAGAATAGCTGGCTAGTTAGGGTAGCTGTTTAATTGGTTAGTTCTATGCCGTAAGGTGATGCACTGTTTAATCCCCGAAAGACAATGTAATATATAATATAGTTGACACTTTATGGCTGAATAGGTATAACAGAGATAGAATCGATGAATAGACGCTCCGAATAGTGTATAGAAAATATAAAGATGTATAGCGACATAGGTATGTATATGGCACAGCCATGCTGTTGAAGTGAATATTGTAAAGCTGTATAGGTAAAAAGGAAATCTTACAAATCTAATTCGATCAGGTGAATCGTAGATTTCTATAGTGTGAGACCGTTGTGAAGCTACTCTAAGGTCATCTGACGGTCATCATGACATTATGAAATGGGCGTGGTTGACCTCTAGTAACCTAAATTACAACCTTAAATGCGTTTTATTACGTTTCGTTCAATTCTTTACATCTGAAGATCATCAAAGCTTCAATGTTTATCATAAACGTTGTATTATTGATTCCGCTTTTCTCACACCAAAGACCGTGATTAATTACATTATGCCTATAGGCCTATTGATTTTGTATAAATAATTTAAAATATATTTCACAAGACCTGTAAAACTGCGTAGATAAAAATTTGGGTCATATCGTATGGTGGGGTCACACAAGACGTTGGTTTGTTTGTCCCATGGTCATTTTTGCCTTGTTAATTATCCCATAGTTTAAAACTATATTGCACATAGTGGCCTTGCGGTAGAGAGCTGGACTGCTAACCCGTGATTCTCGAGTTCGAATCCGGATTCAAGTCAGTAGACCGTCCCGGAGTCTGATGGGTACCTAACTCACGTTAGGTTATGTAATGGCGGCTGGGCATAGTGCTGACCACATTATTCCTTCATATGCCGAGTTCACATAAACAAGTAAAGTTTACTTTTATTATTTTTCTGACGTGGTTGCGAGCCCTTAATGTCAACTCAAAAAAATGTGAGGAGGAGGGGGGGGGAAGGGGTTAAGAGGTTGAGGAGATAGTGTCTAAATGTGAGGGAGGTAGGCCGGGAAGTTTCGTAGAGAGGGGGTGGGGAGAAGAAATTGTAATGTGTTGGATGATGGTGAGGATTTACGGGGGTTGAGGGGGGGAATTTAAAAGGTTGTGGTGGATGTTAAGTGTGAGGGGGATTATGGTGGATATTATTGTGAGGGGGATTATGGGGACTATGGTGGATGTTAAGTGTGAGGGAATTTAGAGGGGATTATGGTGGATGTTATTGTGACGGGGATTATGGTTGATGTTTAGTGTAAGGGAGATTAGTGGGGATTATGGTGGATGTTAAGTGTGAGGGGGATTAGTGGGGATTATATTTGATGTATAGTGTGAGGGAGATTAGTGGGGATTATATTTGATGTATAGTGTGAGGGAGATTAGTGGGGATTATATTTGATGTATAGTGTGAGGGCGATTTGTCGGGATTATATTTGATGTATAGTGTGAGGGAGATTAGTGGGGATTATATTTGATGTATAGTGTGAGGGAGATTAGTGGGGATTATATTTGATGTATGGTGTGAGGGAGATTTGTCGGGATTATATTTGATGTATAGTGTGAGGGAGATTAGTGGGGATTATATTTGATGTATAGTGTGAGGGAGATTAGTGGGGATTATATTTGATGTATAGTGTGAGGGAGATTTGTCGGGATTATATGTGATGTATAGTGTGAGGGAGATTAGTGGGGATTATATTTGATGTATAGTGTGAGGGAGATTAGTGGGGATTATATTTGATGTATAGTGTGAGGGAGATTTGTCGGGATTATTGTGGATGTTAAGTGTGAAGGAGATTAGTGGGGATTATAGTGGATGGTAAGTGTTATGAAGTTTAGAGGGTTTTTTGGTGTACGTTAAGTGTGATGGGGATGAGTGGGGATTAAGATGGATGAGTGTGAGTGACGTAACAATTATCCTCCCTCCCCAGGCGACTGGTCAGAATCAAGTCTTTCATGGCGTTGTCAAAAAGGACGCTATAAAAACAGCCATTTATGTCCGACCTCGACCAGGGTATTCTAAAGCTAACTCTAAAAATAGCTACATATCTTCCCTCTTGTCTACCAGCAGATGTTTACACACCCTACAGCACTACAAGACAAATACAGCTGCAGAAGTCAAGTGCGAAATGGCATGGTGGTAAATTGCGAAATATTTATGGTAGGAAGTCCTAGGCGTTGTTGGTCAAATGCGTTTGCTATAAGGTCTTTTAGAATTTCTTTTCAAGCCATGTTGTTATAGTGTCTTATGTAAATTCATTGTATCTCTATTTCTTTTTGCTTAATGCTTTGGTCTGACGGATCGTAACTGACAAACACAATTTCTCCCATTTCTACTGAACAAAACTTTTTTTTTTTCAAATTTGTACAGGTAAGTCAAGACCCGTTGATAATGTAATGTGACATAAACGATTGGATAATGTTAGTTCTTTTTTTTAATTAATTAATTA